ACAGGGGCGGATCTAGCAAAAATGGGGGGGCCAAATTATTTAATGAAAAAATATAAAATATTATAACAAAGAATGCAAATACAAAAACATACCTTCACAGTCGTTCTTTACGAGTTTTCATGGTCTGATATCGCTCGATAATAACATCATTACTAATTTTCAAGAAGGTTTCCTTTTCTACATAAACTATAGTCTATCATTTAACCAATCGTCACTCATTCGATTGCTCAACCTATCCTTAATAATATTCATTGCGGAAAATACTCGTTCCACGCTAGCTGTTGCAACCGGCAAAACCAACGCCAAAGTTAAAAGTTTGTAAACCAAAGGAAACACTTTGTGCTTCTTCGTCTGCACCAACTTCTCTGCAAGTTCACCGAGTCCTTTCAACTCTTTAAACAAATTGTTGAAGCGCATATCAACATTATAGTTCTGCAACTGATCCTCAAGAATGAGAACATCAGATATCGAAAAGTCTTGAGGATAAAGCCCGGCCATCTTGACTAATTTTCCCTTGTCGAAAGCAGAAAAAGAATCTCGTGGAGATAAACAAGCTATACAAAGTAGCAACTTCGTACTAGCCTCCGAGAAACGATCATGTAACTCTTGTAGTTGCAAATCAATCACGGCACAGAATAAATCCACTCGATAATGATGCAAATTCGTTATTTTGGGTGCATTACGAAGTGGACGACCACGAGGATCAAAGCGAATAAACATGTCAGTCATATCGGGGACATCAATAGAATGTTTCTCACAAAACTGACAAACCTCTTCAAATAATAAATCCCATCCACTATCTCTCAACTCTTGAAGTCGATACCTACAAACTCTAACCAAATCCATTGCATTCACAATATCTTGGTCTCTCATTTGTAGTTCTTGGGACAACTCATTCGATATTCCCAAGATGATTTTCATCATATGAAAATTTAGCACAAATTCAAAGCAATGAATCGACTTCAATAATATCTCCACCTCTACCTTTTGGATAGAAGTAGAATATTCATCCGCATAGATCACATCAAGCACATCACCCACGGGAGAAAATAAAGAAATCAAGCTAATCAAAGATCTATAATGTGAGCCCCAACGTGTATCACCGGGCCGTTGAAGACTAGTTTCTTGGTTTAGACCTCGTCCACTTGAAATCTCACCCCTTTCTAGAGCCCCGTCAATATAGCTCATTTGTTTTTCTCGAAGAAGATCACAACGTTTAGAAGAACCCCCAACAACATTTATCAGTTGAGATACTACCCGAAAAAAATCAGCAATCGGAAGATTCTTTGTAGCCACAGCTACAAGGGCTAGTTGGAGCTGATGAGCAAAGCAATGCACATAATGTGCACTTGGATTCTCATTTAAAATAATTGTTTTTAAACCATTAACCCTCCCTTGCATATTACTAGCCCCATCGTAACCTTGCCCGCGCAATCTAGATATGCTTAAATTATGTCTCGACAACATCTTGTCAATGGCGTCTTTAAGAGAAATTGCCGTAGTACTTGTGACATGTTCAACTCCAATAAAATGTTCTTTTACATGTCCACAAGAATCCACATATCTCAAAATGACAGACATTTGTTCTTTGGTTGATATGTCATGTGATTCATCAACCAAAATAGAGAAAAAAGAATCCCCGACATCTTTTAGTATCACATTAACAGTTTCTGCGGCGCAAGCATACGATAAATCTTTTAAAATGCTAGGAGCTGTTAACTTGCAATTTTTAGGAGCATTTTCCATTGTCACCGAAGCAATACCATCATTATGAGCTCTTAAAAATTCCAGAGTGACAAGAAAATTACCTGGATTAAGAGAATCCTTTGATTCATCATGACCCCGAAAAGGTAGCCCCAATCGCAACAAATGTCGTGCACAATCAAGAGATGCAGTGAGCCGAATGCGATAATCATCTTTCATTTGCTTAGACTGTTTTTCTAGAGCTGTTTGAATGTGCACATTTTGATTCATCAATGCATCACAATTCATGCGCGCTTGATTGTGTTCACTATCATGTTTCCCGACATGAACATCAAGTCTCGATTTTTCTTTCCAAGATCTGAATCCCTCTGTAACAAAGGTTTCTCCTCCCGATTGTTTTCCTCGATTTGGTTTAAAAAGATAATAATAAAGACAATATGCAGCATCTTTAGAAATGCTATACTTTAATCATGCATGTTCAGTAAACCAACCAGCAGTAAATCTTCTGGCCTTTGTTGATGACGATGAGGCTTTCGTCATGGGAAAATGGTGATCAAACGGTTGACAAGGACCTTTCTGCAAATATGCTCTTCGAACTTGGTCTCTAATCTTTGGACTGTACCTCGAGATTAGAATTCTCAATCCGGGATCAAACGGAAGTTGAGAAGAATCAAACTCCTCGATCACCATTAGTCTGTCGGTCGTAGTTTCTTTCTGCTCAGTGATACCAGTATCTTCTTTTGGGACATTTTCACAAGCACTTTGTGGACGGGGCCTTTTTGGAAAATATCTCTCCATATCTAATATACAAAAAATAATTTCATTAATTCACAATCAATTGAATTTTCTATTTTAATGTATCACACTTTAAAAAGCTATAACTTATAAGCACATTATGGATTGAATTTGTAATTTCTACATAAACCTAAAAATAAAGAAGAATAATATTTACCTCAACCAAAATAAAGATAAAGAGATTTTATTACCTTACAATTCGTCTTCTTTAACAATTGGACCAACAATTGATAAACTTTATGCCTCTTTTCTATTTCTCCTCTCTTCTTTTCCCTCTTCTCTTTTTTTTCCTTTCTCTGTAACTCTGTGCTGCGAGCCTGCGTGACCTTTGTTGTGTGAGCAATTTTAATTTTTTTTTTTGATTAAATAAGAAAGCAAGTTGGGTTAAGTTTATTATCAAAATTGAGGCTTTTTTAATGAGCTCATACTTGAGATTTTTCTTTTTTTATGGACTCATACTTAGACTTTTTTTTAATGGGCTTATAGTGTATGATTATTATTCTCTATATATATAGGGTTTTTTTTTTTTAATTTTTAGGCCCNATATATATATATATATATTGCACGCTAAAATTATTTTTTAAATTGCATACCCAATCAATTTAGTTTGATTTTTTTTAAATTACTATGTTTATTTTTTATTAATATGCATAAAATAAAAATAAATAATTCATCTTTAGATATTTAATTTATAGTTTTAATATACTATCTTGGATCAATCGGGTGATTGAATTAGGGTACTGCCAACGTTGATTGAATTACTTTTAAGTGATATTTAAAATAGTCAAAAAACTTGACATAACTTGGTTGGTCCAATGTAACTAAGTTATGTATCAGTTTGATCAGACCAAATCGATTATTGAACCTAAATATAAATTTTAATATTGAAAATACTTTATTATGTAGTCCAAACTTCAAGTAATCAAAATATTGTTTTCCCGTGCATCGCACGGGCCACACACTAATTAAATGCATGATAATAGCATATCTTGTTTCACTTTCAAAATAACTATTTGTGGTTTCAAATGAGAAAAATAACTTTGCTCAGGCCATACACCAACATCGCTTCCTCATTTTTCAAAAGAAGATACTATTTGATATCTTAATTTTTATTCCATATAACTAAAACTATTGGCCATTAAATACCATACAGCTTCCTACAGCCCTACGTAATTTCAACAGTATCAATAAATTAACGAAAGTAAAATCTCAAAATCTTTGACAAATCACAAAAGGCTGATACACCAATGTCATTCAAATGTGGAAAAAAGAGGGAAGGGGGAAAAATTCACACATAATAAAATAATAATAATTATCTANAAAAAAAAAAAAAGAAAAAAAATTATTGTAGCAGAATCTCATACTCTCGTGAGTATTAAGAAAGTGGGTACTCGCCCACACATTGAGAACGAGCCTTGTGTTTGTCGCGGGTGATGGGTGCAGGCCACGCCCGCGCGTAGGCGACGAACGACCTTATCAACAACGTGGGTATTTCCGTAAATAGACATGCGTGAAAACCATTTCTTCATTTGTATCGTATTCAACGGTGAAGATCAACCCGCTACACTTTCCACACTCGAGATGGCTACCGTCGATCAGTTTCTAACCAGGGTCAGCATTAAATTAATCCCTCTGGTTAGTGGGTAGTTGATGTTGAGCTGAGTGTGTTTCAGGCTTTCAGCTTTAGTTTAGAATTTTAACGTGACTGATGAGTGGGTGGGGGAGAGTAGAGTAGATATAGAGAGAGAATTGAGAGGATCTTCTGTTTTACCTCTCTCTATTTTATGATCTGATATGTGGTGTTTACAGCGGTTTGGCTACTTGCTTCGTGTAAAAAAAATTGATTCTTGAGTTGAAGTTCTTAAATATGGCGATTTTGTATCCGATCTGTATTTTGATTGCTGTGGTTATTGAGGGTCGTCTTTAGTATTTCTTTCAAGTTTTTGTTTTGTGGTTGGATACCTTTTTCTTTTCTTGTTTGGTTTCTTTTTAGTTTTTTCCTTTTCAGTTCTACTCAGTAATCATCATCTTTTGATGTTTGGATGATAATGATGATAAAATGAGCTTTGAATGGTCTTTCTTTCTCTTATCCATTTACATTTTCAGCTCACTTCTTAGCCTTTCAGCTTTATTTTTTTCCCTCCTCATTTCTCTCAGATATATTCAGTAAATCGACTTCATATTTCGCAAAATTACAATAAAATCTTCAGATCCGTTTAGCTTAATCCATCTGTGAAGAAGAAAAAAAAAAAGAAAAACCCTCTTTCGTTCCTCCTTCCAAATCCCAAAATTTTCCGATTTCATTTTTTTGTTTTCACTCTAGGGTAAATACAGCATGTATATACAAGTAGTGCCTTTTGCTGAAATCATTTTTGCGTGATAAATTCGGGATCTTTTCTCTGATCTTGATATATAGCCTGTAGAATCGTAGTTTTGCATTTGGATAGGATGTGTTTGTTCCAGAGTATGATTAATTACTTCCCGGAGGAAGTACTGGAGCACGTGTTCGACTTTGTCACGTCCCATCTAGACCGTAATGCAGTGTCCTTAGTGTGTAAATCGTGGTATAGTGTTGAGAGGTTTAGCCGGGATAGAGTTTTCATCGGCAATTGCTATGCCGTGAACCCCGAGCGCCTGATTGCTAGGTTCCCTAGGGTTAGGTCGTTGACTCTGAAGGGGAAGCCCCATTTTGCGGATTTCAATCTGGTGCCTCGAGATTGGGGCGGGTATGTTTACCCTTGGATCGTGGCCATGGCAAAGAATGGAATAAATCTGGAGGAGCTAAGGTTGAAAAGGATGGTTGTGTCTGATGAGAGCCTGGAGCTGCTTGCAAAGTCTTTCCCCAACTTTAAGTCTTTGGTCTTAGTTAGCTGTGAAGGGTTCTCCACTGATGGCCTTGCCGCCATTGCATCTAACTGCAGGTGTCAAATACTTTTTGTTTTATTTTGTATGGAAAACGATTCTGTATCGATTTTCTTGACTGGATTGTTGTAGCCATTTGACTTTACGACTTGTTGTTTGATGTAGCCTTTGTCTATTGATTCTTGTCTAGTTGTCTTGAATATTACAGTTATATGTTTCTTGTTGTATTGGGCTTTGCTCTCTCTTACGATTAAGTGATGGCAGCTGATTTTGAGGTTGGAGTTGGTCCATTCATGCGTAGTAGTTGAAATTATTGTGTTGCAAGTTGAATTTTGGTATAGTTAACAAGTCTTGTTCTCATAAACAGTTGATTGGGTTAGATATGTGCGTCTGATAGGACGAGATGCACACTTGCCTTGAAAGTGAATAGCTTTGACATTCCAAATTGTATGTTTCGGTTACAGCAAGCAATCTGTCGTGCTAGTTATAGGTCTATTTGCTCTTATTGGTAGGAAATGTAGGTCATAGCTGCTTACGTTTGAGGATCATATTAATTCCAGTTAAACCTGTATGCTCGACAAATTCTTCTGGAACAGGTTTCTTAGGGAGCTTGACCTGCAAGAAAACGAAGTTGATGAACGCAAGGGCCAATGGCTGAGCTGTTTTTCAGAAAATTCCACCACATCTCTCGTCACTTTAAATTTTGCATGCCTTAGAGGTGATGTCAATGTAACGGCTCTTGAGCGACTGGTAGCGAGAAGTCCCAACCTTAGGAGCCTCAGGATGAATCCAACGGTGCCTCTTGATGCTCTTGAGAAGATTCTAATGCGAGCCCCTCAACTGAATGATCTTGGAACAGGTGCTTTTGTTCATGACCCCGATTCAGAGGCTTGCAGCAAATTGAAAAACACCATGAAGAAATGCAGGTCGATTAGAAGCTTGTCTGGATTTCAGGACGTCAGCCCACGATGTTTGCCTTGTGTATATCCTATTTGCACGGACTTGACTTCGTTAAACTTGAGCTACGCACCAGGAATCTATAGCAATGAACTCATAAAGCTTATATCTCACTGCAAGAAATTAGAGCGTCTATGGGTCCGTTTTCTTATTATTCCTTTTCATCCCATTTATTTATTTTTATTTTGACGAAGAGAAGAGAATAATGAGAGTGAAATTGGATTATGCAGATATTAGACACCATTGAGGATAAAGGGCTTGGTGTTGTGGGCTCCACATGCAAAGAACTTGAAGAGCTTAGGGTTTTCCCATCAGACTTGTACGGCGTGGGTTTTGCGGGCGTAACAGAAGAAGGGCTAGTTTCCATATCGTGCGGATGCCCCAAGCTAAATTCGATACTCTACTTCTGTCAGCAAATGACGAATGCGGCCCTCATCACGGTGGCTAAGAACTGCCCCAATTTCATCCGTTTTCGGCTATGCACCCTAAACCCGACCATACCAGATGCAGTGACAAATCTACCCCTGGACGAGGGTTTTGGGGCTATTGTGCAGTCGTGCAAGGGTTTGAAGAGGCTATCCATCTCCGGGCTTCTAACTGATAAGGTTTTCTTATATATAGGAATGTATGCGGAGCAGCTTGAGATGCTCTCCATCGCCTTTGCTGGGGAAAGCGACATGGGAATGCGTTACGTGCTAAACGGGTGCAAAAAAATAAAGAAGCTTGAAATTAGGGACAGCCCTTTTGGTGATTCGGCACTTGTATCGAACGTGGGAAAGTACGAAACAATGCGGTCCCTTTGGATGTCGTCCTGTGAAGTGACATTAGGGGCATGCAAAACGCTTGCCCAGAAGATGCCGATGCTGAATGTGGAAATTATTAATGAAGGTGAAGAAGAGGTTGAGGATAAGCATAGGGTGGAGAAGATGTACCTCTACCGGACCCTGGTTGGGCCTAGGAGGGATGCCCCCCATTTCGTTTCGACCTTGTAGCGATTGGATATTAAAATATGTTTTCTTGCTTTTGTCTCAAGTTAAGGTGGTTGGAACTCTACGTCGTGTGTTGTTAATATAGACAACTTAGCTTATTCATGTTCATCTATGACACTCTATGTTTCAGTATTTGTTGTTGGTATTGAGTTACGCTGGTAGAAGTAGTTCATAGACTATTTGTTGTATTTTGTTCACTAAAAATGTATTTTACATTGTAATTCGTATTCTCACAATTCATGTTTCTAATTTATTTCATTTTGAAAAATATATAACATTTATATTTATGTTTGTGAAAACTGTGGGCTAACTTTAGGACTAAGTAACCTGAACCACCATCGTGAATGGTGGTAAACAAACCCCAGAAGGTTGCGCAATTATCAATCAGAACTTATCTGGAGAGTAGGGATCATATCAACAAAATGAAAACAATCATAATAACTAGTAAAGGTAAAATAAGCATGGTAATCGTGAATATATGTACACATGATTGATTGAAGAAAAACTAACCATTTATCAATTTGATACTTTTACCACATAATCATAATAATTATATGTCTAAATCCACTCTTGGTGGCTTACCAATCACATTACACAACAATAATAATAACAAAAGCTTGGTTTTGTAACTGAAAAGAATATCACCATGACATGTGGTAATTGGACAAAGACAAAACACTATTTCCATGAGATCAAAAGAGAGAACTGGAACTGGAACTGGAACTGGAGAAGATTCTTCAAGGCATCATCCCCAACATTGAAAACAAATTACTCAGAAGCAGCACTCTTCCAATATACAACAACAACAGAGGGCTGCAAAACTGCACATTACGAAAAAGGTAAGAGAAAATTTCATTCCATTAAATTTAGTACTAGAGACAGGAGAACTAATATCACTTCAGTTGGAGACTTGGAGCATTCCCTCATTGTTACATAAATCAACTTCTGATCCTTGATTTATGCATGAGCAGCATCAAGTGTTCTAAGAAGCATTTGGGCAAATGGTATATGAGTATAAACAGACTAAAATGATAGTCACACTCCACATTACAAAGTAGGACACGAACCAAGCTCCTCAAAATTCCACCACAAATCGAACTATGAAGCTTTTTCAATCTAGAGTGTCCCTTACACATCTGATCTCAATACATCCGATGCACCAATTAACAATAAATGAACACAAATCAGCAAATCTCTCAAATTAGGCATAGCAAGAAAACTAATACCAAAAGTTTATTTACTTATGACTCATGAGGGCTGCTTGAAAAACTTCCTGTCGCTTACATTCATTCAACTAACCACACAAGGAGAAATAAATCCCCCTTCACATAATTTCCCTATAATTCATCATCAACCAAATTAATCAAATCATCACAAACAGGCAGATTCAAAAGAAATAAAAACGAATAAGATGAAAGGGAAAAAATGAACATACCAGCCTCGCAGAAATGAAGTACAGTCAGAACCATCGTCACAATGGTGATGATCACAATGGTAGACCTGGGTCGGAGGAGGCGGCGGCGGAGGATACCCTTGACCGAAATATCCTTGGTAACCACCGCCGGAATGTGGCGGCGGCGGCGGCGGATATGGATATGCCGACGGTGGAGGCGGCGGATAGGGGTAGCCATCTGGCTGAGGTGGAGCAGACGGATACCCCGCCGGAGGAGGGTATACCGTTCCGTACCCTGATCGAACAAAACAATTACAACAAAATACGTCAAGAAAACACGGAATTCAGATCAAATTGAGGATTGCTGGTAGAAAATTTGTGAAAATAATAATAATCGCACACACACACAATAACGAAACATGTAAAGAATAAAGACACCTGGAGGAGGGTAATTTTGCTGGGGCACTTGCTGATAGCTCATGGTTGTAATTTTACTTCCTCCCTCAAATTTCCGCCGGAAATTGACGGAGCAAGGATAACAAATTCCAGAGAGAGAATTTGGTTGCGTCTTTGTTTTTCTTTTTCTTTTAACGGAGTCGTCGACTCGGGAAACGCTACAATTGCTAATTATATCGAAGGGACAAGCGTGTTTCGGTAAATTGGGACAAACGACGTGGGCTGCTAGCTTGAGACTACTTGTATGGGCTCAAATTTTCATGTTGACGTTGATTCGACCCGGACCAAACCCAAGAGAAATATCAACTAATCTTTTACACCGAATTAATTTTTTATTACTGGAAGTGCATTGTTTTATTTTATAAGCCAATGTTGTTGTCTTGGGTTGGGATACACCGAATTGATTTAAACTGAAAGTGCATTGTTCTATTTTATAAGCCAATGTTTGTTTTTGGGATACATCCTCTGCAGTAGGGTTTAGAACTATTGTTCTCAATAAAAGTTTATTTCAAACCTTATATTTCCTCACCTCCTTACATTTAGTACTATTTAGTATTTAGAATCGATTCACAACAAAATCTTAAGACACCGTAGATCACATCAAAGCAACTCACAAAAATGAAAGAGCAAGCGTGCAATCATCGACAATTCAAGGATTACACGTGCGACCAAAAACTATGGCACGAGACCATGCTCTAGATCCTATTGTTTTCCCCAAACATCACTTACTAACACCAGCATTTGTGGCATGTGCAACATGTTATTTAAAAACATGTCAGATCAACCAACTGCATAGCTTAGAAAAGGTATAAGGAGAGGATGAAACAAATTTTATGGATTTGCAACATTAATGAGTTCTAAATTAAAAAAGGCCGGCAAACTATCAAAGCTATCTCTTGTCCAAATGTTTGACAGTTTTTAGTTCTAGCGCAAGTGTAAAAATAGTACTGACAAAATCAGAACCGCCTATGCCACCATAGGTGGGGCTTGTAACAGATACTAAAGACAGCGAGAGCTTTGACGTGTGATGATCAACGCTTCTTCTTGCTTCCCTTGGCAGCACTGGATTTTGATGGGGTCGCAACCAGGTAGATGAACAAGACAACAATAGATACAACTGAAACAAGAGATCCGTATTTCGCCAACAGTCTCTGCAAGGAGTAAACTTCAAGTTAGCTCAAAAGTAACAAAAACATAGACATACAAGCAGAAGCATATCAAGAATGTCCCACATTGAGAATCCAAAATTAAAAACTGAGCTATTTTCTTTCCTTTCCTTTTTCTTTTGTTTTTCTCCCAAGAACCTCAATGCAGCTATCTAATATAATAAAATGGACAGTACATAGAACAAGATGATCCAGTTTCAAATTCAAGATAGTCAACAGTCTCACCTTAGCCTATATTATTTCAGGAGCCGCCACAGGTCATTTCCAATCCAGAAAACAAGAAAGTGAGAAAAAAAATTATTTAACAATAAAAGAATACGAAGCAGAAAGATATGCTAAATCACTCAAAAAGTTACCAAATCAAACTTCTTTTCTGGTGGCCTATCTGCTAGAACATCAAGAGGCAGGATTGGAGTAGAATACGCCTCCTGAAAGTCATCCAATCATATACAGAGCTAGTTTCAAAATTATCATAGATAGAAACACAATATAGGAGAATATCAAACCTGTAAGGCAGCCTTTGTAGGAACACGGAAAGTAATAAGTGCTGGTGGCCCATAAAATAGACTTTTCGTTTTTGCCACCAGCTCAAAGGAATGTGATAGAACAGCCCCTCTGAGTAAATGGATAATGAGATTAATAAGATCAGGTTTTAGAAAAACTGAAGTGATATTAGCCACTTGTGTTTCGTTCAGAAATTCTTTGAATAATAATAACTTACACATCAAGCCTTTCCCATGAAATTGAGGTGTTACCACTGACGACTTCAAATACCTCCGGGGACCAGCTATCATCATTGAGTGTTACATCATATGCAGTCCTGAATGTGCAGAATAATTTTGCGTGAACTCATGTACATGTAGTTGACGATTAAATCTCCAGATTGTACATTTCCCATTAGCAGCTTAATGTTTCTATACATTAGTAAACTGCGATAGCGCCAAAAGTTGACGAATGAAAGATCAAAGTGATCATCAACACATACCATGAATTCCATTAAACACAAATTAACAGTTAAACGAACCATTTACACGTGAGACATGCCTGAATTTATCAAACTGTGGTTACAACAGCTAGAGCAAGGGCGAATACTGATTCCTAACATAAGGACCATCGTAAATAGTGCATCATTATATGCCTGAATTATCATGTGTTCAAGCAATCCACCAGGCTATTATGAATTATGGTCAACTCTATTGTTCTTGAGCAAAGATGAAGTTTTTATGCCTTAGATAGTCCGGAATCAAATTTGTATCAGCCGTGTGTTACAAAGCACATTTTCTCTTCCTAGCCATCCATAATGCATTAATCAAGTGACCATAACAGCCGCATCTAAAATATCAAGTTCATTAATTAAAGCTAAAGAGAAAAGGTAAAAAGACCACAAACCCATAAAATGTACAATCTAAAAAAGCAGATCTAATTGAGAAAAGGAGAAGGGTAATCATAGCATACGCGGATCCTTGATTGTAGACATCAATGGAAACGGAGACACGTTCGGATCCGGGCTTGAGCCGGGTCAGCGTCGCCTTCTTATGCGCCACGATGAAAGGACCGTCGGAGCTGGCGATGACTGATGCGGCGAATAATAGGGCTGCAAGGACACAGATTGCAGGCCCGGTGGTGATCAGCTTCGCCATTGCTGAACGGAACGACGGCGTTTTGGAGGTGCAGCTGGAGAGTTGGACCGTAGTAAAGAGATTGAAGAGGTTAGGGTTGTTTTACTATAGTTTCCGACGACTATTATACAGTGTTAAATAGCTAAATACTAAGATCATGTCATATCCTCGTGACAAATGGCAAAATTGAGTCCAACTTTAACGTTGTGTCGGAGTTCCACAATGATAATCAATGTTTAATGTAATTGTAACTTTCTTTTGATTGCCTAATTAAGTTTGTGTTCGAGTCGAAACTTGAAACATTGTTTGAGCTCGGATTTTTAAGGAAAAACGTAAACAAGCACAATCATACATATGTACTATGAGAAGATCTATATATATATATATATATATATATATATATATTATATATAATAAGAATTACCATTTAGTAAAAATAGCCTATAAATAGTAAGTTTATTATTTTCTTATTTTTTTCTTTAAATCATACAACATTATATGCTACCTCAAATTTCGGACATTAGTTAATTTTATTATTTTTATTAAGTGTGTATATTTTTATTAATTCTGTATGTTTTTATTTTTATTTATTTCTTAGAAACAATGAACAACATTAAAATCTCGATCTCTATATTTATAAAATCTCAATTCAAGATATAACAAAAGTTTTAGAATCTCAGTCTTTATATTTGTGTCTTTAAAAGAATATTGAACGCTAAAAATATTCTTTAAATTGCATAATAAATTAATTAATCTTCATTTTCTGAAAATTACTATGTTTATTTTTTAATAATATGCATAAAGTAGAAATAATTAATATATCTTTAGATATATAATTTATAATCTTAATATACTATCATTTGGTGTAGACATTTATTATATGAATCATAAAATATTTTTATTTCATAAAATTAAATATATTTAAAGAAAATAAAAAATTTTCTTCGGATCAATCGGGTGATTGAATAAGGGTACTGCCTAGGTTGATTGAATTACTTTTAGGTGTTATTTAAAATAGTCAAAAAACTTGACACAACTTGGTTGGTCCCAGATGACTAAGTTATATATCAGTTTAACCACACCAAATTGATTATTGAACTGAAATATAAATTTTATATTGAAAATATTTTATTACGTGAATGTGATGTAGTCCAAAATTCACATAATCGTATTAACAATACTTTTATGACAACATCTTTAATGATTTATGAATATTTATATATCATTTTATTAATATTTATGTAAATTATATTAATTTTATTATAATATTTAAATGTACAGTAAATATAAGGTTTTCAGAACTGGACCGTCATCGAAATGATCAAGCTATTTTATTAAATCATTTGTGGTTTTTTCAGATTTTAATTTATAAACATTTTAATAGATACATATATATATATAGTACTTTTTGTAATAAATTTAAATAAAATGTGTTACTTAGATATCTAAATAATTTATAAATTTAAATATTTAAACTAATTGATAAATAATTTTTAAATCTCTATTTTATTTAAATATGTAATTTTATTTAAAATAATTTTAAATATAACAAAATTTATTTAGAAAATCGTATCGATCCTACCAGTCCAACCGACTGGTGTTGACGGATTCGAGAACAAATATTTTATTCAAGCGAACTAGACTGGTTATAAACTGGTTCTCGGTCCATCCGATCGGACTGTGTCCAACCCGGTTTAATTTAAAAATAATGGATAAATCATGATTAATGTTATTTATCTATTTAATTTTATAATACAATCGTAATATTATTTTCCGTGCATCGCACGGGCCACACACTAGTTAATTTTAAAATAATCTCCAACTATATTCATAGGACTTGGTTTGTTACTTCGTTTACACAATTTTGATAATTGGGCTCAAGTCTTGTTGGGCCGTGACAGTCCTACCAATTTTGACAGTTGGGCTCAATTCTTGTTGGGCCGTGACAGTCCAGTAGGAATGCTGCAGATAGGACGATTTTCAACCAGGGAATGGTCAATGGTGGCCTGGCCTGAGGCATGCGCATTAACAGCTATACCTTTAAAAAAATATATATGTATTTATTGTCCTTATTTATGAAGTATAATTATTAAATTGTTACCCATGCACTGCACTACACCGTGTATTTTTTATTTTTATTTTTTAATTAATAAAGAAAAAGATGGAAAAGAGTTGATCTGAGTTCACTTGAAGCCAGCTGATTGTCAGGACTATCACAAAAGATTATTATGAAGGGGAAAAAAATCATAAACATATGTTTTAACTGATAATCTTTTGGTATTAAAAAAGTGATTTGATTCAACTGCTCCACATAGAAAAATACACTTGCAAGGTCACAATCTAGCCATGAACTGAAATATTTGATTTGATCCCGATCAAATTAGATGCTCATGTACTACTGTGATCAGATTTGCTCAAGTTCTGATAGTTCATTTGGATTCAAGTCAGATACGAAATCTTTTTTTTTTTTTTCTCTCTCTATTCTCCATGAAACCATTCATATCCTTATATAATAACTCTTGTTTCAATTAATCATAGTTTCATAGTATATCAGTATCCCGCCACATAATTTCTGGGGTAATTTGTGTTGCCGAGTTGACAGTTGTAAAATGATCAAGAATTGAGTTAAAGAGCATGTTCTGAGGATACAAGTTGACAAGTTGCCTTGTAAATCGAATTTAAACAAATCTGACATTGGGGTTATATACAATACACCCATCCCTTCAACATTAATAATATACATTAGAAGATCATAAAAGCAACGGATGAGTGATTGAAAAAGGAAGAAGAAGATTGCAATACCTTAAAGAGTGCAGTTCAAAAAGTTTAGTATAGTTTTTTGAGAGGACTAAAAAGGTTGCTTTGCATTTCTCCGAACAATGAACTAAGATCATTCGTCACTCAGGGGCGTAGCCAGAATTTTTTTTCACCCGGGGCTGCAAAATTACTGATGTTATTTGAATTAAATTGTCCCGTTACATATTTTTGTTTGACATGTAAAACCTCAAGCTCGACTAGCATGTATATTAGCATGAGCTCATATCAAACAACTAATTGGGTTTGTTTATTAAACAAGTCGAGCCGAGAGTGTCAACGATCAACTCAGTAAGAGTTTCGAGTTTTTGTCTACGTTGTAAGGCTTACTAAATGAGTCGCGTCATTTTTACATGCATTTTACAGTGATTTTTGTTTCCATTTCGTTTTCATATATATTTTTTGTTTTTTTGTAGTTAATTTTATTAAGCGATGACGAGGTGTTTTATTTGTGTTTTAATAGAAAACGCGATCGAAATAATTAATGGAAGTGGAAACAAATAGAATCGGTCAAAAAATGTGAAATTCAATGTGTTGTAAGAAGCCCGAAAGATAATTACATTGCAGCCCATTTTATTTGATTTAGTGGGCCAAAAATTAACTCAATGTACTATCTCAAGAAAGAATAAATTGAATAAACATCATGGGATAACAATTAAGTATTATAAAAGTAATATATTAAAAATCAAGAAATAAAAGACACAAGAAGAGCTCCACAATGATCAATTTTATGGGCACTCCACGCGTACAGATAAATGATGTAATGAAGTGGTTCGAATTCTCCTGTTTTGCCCAAAAAAAAATAAAAAATCATTTCATATTTTATATATCCACATACGACAAAAATAAATAATGTGGATCATGATTTGATCTAGGCAGCCCATTTTATTTGATTTAGTGGGCCAAATATTAATTCAAAAAAAAAAAAATTTGAAAAACATCATGGGATGGCCCAAGAAGTTATTTAAGTGAGGGTGAAAATGTAAATTCAAACTTGAACATGAGTTGTCTTCTCCAAGCTCACCATGAAATAGAAACTTCCGCCATTGATGGGCAGGAGAGCTGCTAAAAATCTTCTTTCTTTTGTCTATGAACTTTATTTGAGCTCACACAACTTGAAATTAGACGGGGCTAAGTAAGAAATTAGATAAGACTAGATATATAATATTTTGAAAGATAAACCTAGTAGATTTTTTTTTTTTTTTTTGACATGGGGCTGGAGCCCACCCTAGCCCATGGGTGGCTCCGCCCCCACCAAAGATTATTATAATTAAAACAGTAGTTGGAGGATTATTGCCATTAAAGAAAACAACACACACAGAGATAGAGTCAAAAGGATATAAAGACAAATTCAGTATGCATGGAAATTTGTGTTGGGTATGTTCATGTATATGCGATAGATTGAGTTTAACGAACTCGATAATCGTCCCATTTTTAAAGAATTTCAACTGGATGCTTCCGAATGCCACAGTCCAAAACCAAAGTAGACTTTTTCTATCTTCCTTTTTTCTATTCCCTGAGCTGCATTAACATGGTCAAAGTACATTAGTGATTATTTTAACCAAGATTTACTAATTATTAATTTCACTTGCCATGTGACACATCTCTCGATCCCTGAGCTTCCAACCCAGCCACTAGTTCTTGTTTTCTACTATGCTTTCTTTTCCACAAAATTAATATTGTGATGGAAAAAAAAAAGAATGAATGCATATATAATTGTAGTCTTAGTCTATGATTTAAAATCTTCCCAATCTGAAGTGAACCTTCATTGCTCTCTTCTACACTCTGTCCTTATGGTTCCTGTCAGAAATCAGTATGTGTTCCGACATTGTGTTTCTGTATTACCATTTGACTTTCTTGTATAAATATATGCCTCAAAATTTTGTAACCATAAAAATAAGAAGCCAGCCAGAGGCAAGCCAACGAGCGTGTTTAGTTATTCTCTTGTGTTTAAGTGATTGAAAATGCAGGATACATAGGATGTTCTAGTCTTAAACCAGTGAATCCCCTAAAAGTACAAACATGGGGTGTACATCTTCAATCTATCTGGTCGGTAAAAAGAAAAGAAAGATAGTTCCAGAAGTTTCCATGTTCGTCCCCTTTCTGCGTGTGCCGGCTCAAACTGATATACACAGAACGCTCGGGGGTTTAGTCCCTAAGGATCTTGCCAATAGAATCAACTCTCTCAGGAATCAGATTTCATTTGTAGCTGACCACACTGGTTTTACTTTAATCTTTTTTTTTTTTTTTTTTTNTTTTTTTTTTTTTTTTTTTATTCTTTTGGTATCCTTATTTATTTATTGTATGTAAATGGTGGATTTTTGAATTAATATTTAGGCGGCACAGCTATTAGTGAACTGATTAAGGCATTGGAGGAGTACTTACCCCTTGTCATTGGATTAACAAAGAAAGGTTCTTTGTTGTGTGTTGTATTTATTTTTGTTTGCCGACAACTTATTGCGTCTTTGTAAGCGTATAACTTATGTAATGTTCATTTGGTTTTGAAAAAAATAAAAGAATATGGGCTTCTGGACTTGGTGGAGTTCAGATGGAAAGATTTGGAAGATTGAAATCAGGTGAAAATTTATCGAAATTCGCATTGCTTTTCGAATTTCTTGATTTTTTTATTTTATTTTTATGAGCAGGAAATCTGTGTGGCAAACACATGGTTCGAACTACTCTCGGTATTGCATATGATGGCTGTGCTGATGCTGATGGAGGCCAATTTGAAGCTAATTCCCATGGAGAATAGTAGCCTATCCGAGAGGCTCGTTTCTCCAGGTTTCTGTTAGTGTGATTTTGTGAATATTATATTTTTGGTAGAGATATATTTTGATATCTTAGAGATTTGGTGTATATTTGTAGGGCTTCTCTTTGTATCTATTTATTCAGCCTTTGTAAACTCTGTTGGGAAGTTGAATGAATCAATTTCTTACATTGATCTTTTGACATGGTATCAGAGATCGGTTAATTTTTTTCTTTTGAATTTTAAGTCTCGATTAACTGAGACTCATATTATCTTTCGGTGCTCTCGATCAACAGAGACCAATTCCTTTTTTTTTTCTTGTTTGAAATCGAAAAAGAGAGAGAGATTTGCTCCCAATCTCGGTCCACTAAGGCTCATACATCATTTTTTTTGTCNTTATGGGAGAAACGGGTAATGGAACCGCTGCTCTCGCTAGGGGACGAGGTGATCGTAGCGGACGCGGTGACGGACCAGCCGTTGCCGGCCTTGTCAAAGCCGCCTTCGGAAACGGGAATGCACTTAGTACCTCGGACTCTATACATGGCGTGTCAATATCCTCATTAACGAACTCCGATCGGGCAGCTATTTCTGGGTTGACTGATGCCCAATGGGAGTCTATTGTACATCTCGTCACTTCTGCCCGCAAGAATGCTCCTTTGTCTGGTAAGCATAGTCTTTATGAGTGGATGTATGATAGCGGTGCTTCACATCATATGACAGGCTACTTGGAATTTTTTTCTGATATTCGGGATATTCCGCCCCGGTCTGTGCAGTTACCTAATGGCACGCTCACCACTGCTTATAAAGCTGGAACTGTTCATCTCGGTTCTCGTATTGTTTTATATGAAGTTTTGTTCGTTGATAGTCTTCAGTGCAGCTTGATATCTTTGTCTCGGTTGTTGGAACAATCTGGTTGTGTTGCTACCTTCACTAGTAAATATTGTGCTATTCAGGACCTCAATTCGAGGTCGGTGATTGGAGCAGGTGAGCAGTTGGGGGGACTCTATTTTTTTCGAGGGGCGATCGCTGCCAATGCTTCTCGGGTGTCTTCGGTTATGCAGCACTTGTGGCACCAGCGAATGGGTCATCCCTCTTCTACTGTCCTTGGTCAATTGCCTTTTGTTGAGTCTCGCTCCTTGGTCTCGAATAAAACCTGTGATGTTTGTTGTCGGGCGAAGCAATCTCGTGCTAGCTTTCCTCTTAGTCGTAGTGTGAGCAGTTCCATTTTCAGTCTGATTCATTGCGATGTGTGGGGACCTTATAGAGTTCCCGCCTTTAGTGGTGCTCGATATTTTTTGACTATTGTTGACGACTATTCTCGTGCCACTTGGATTTTCTTATTGGATGATAAATCGTCTGTCTTCTCTACTTTGATGAATTTTTTTGCTCTCATTAAACGGCAGTTTGGCGCCTTGGTTAAAACAATTCGCAGTGATAATGGGACTGAATTCACATGCATGCGTAATTATTTCCTCCAACACGGGATTGTTCACGAAACTTCTTGTGTCGGGACACCTCAACAAAACGGGCGTGCTGAGCGCAAGCATCAACATATTCTTAATGTGGCTCGTGCTCTTCGCTTTCAGGCCCATTTACCGATTGAATTCTGGGGTCATTGTGTTCTTGCTGCTGGCTATCTGATTAATAGAACACCTACCCCTATTTTATCCGGTAAGACCCCTTATGAGATTTTGTACGGCAAACCTCCTGACTACGCACATTTGAGGGTATTTGGTTGTCTGTGCTACGTACATAATCAGAACAGGGATGGTGACAAATTTGCAAGTCGGAGTCGACGGTGTGTCTTTGTGGGTTATCCAGCTAGTCAAAAGGGTTGGTGCGCATATGACTTAGATAGTCATAGTTTTCTGGTTTCACGTGATGTAGAATTTTGTGAGTCTGAGTTTCCTTATCTGACCTCCCCTGATACTCCCTCTTCACCGGTTGCTACATGGCCTCTGGTATCTGAGGATGATGATGATGTGGTAGCTCCGGTTACGACGGGTACTGCTGCCAATAGGGCTCCAACATCTACTGACGATAGGGGGGGTGTTGCTTTCCCAGAAGAGGTGCTCGGTCGTGGTCATCGGATCAAGCGTCCCTCTTCACGTCTTGCTGATTTCGTCTCTCACACTATTTGTTCGTCCCCTCACTCTGGCTCCTCCATTCCATCCTCGAACTCTGGTACGCCTTATCCTCTTGATCACTATGTTTCTTGTGCTTCTTTTTCTTCAGCACATAAGTCCTTTTTGGCCACCGTCACTTCTACTATTGAGCCTCGGACATTTTCCGAGGCTGTTAAAGACAGTCGTTGGCGATCTGCCATGCAACTGGAGATTCGCGCATTAGAAACCAATCACACTTGGGATGTTGTGTCTCTTCCTACTGGGAAACATGCGATTGGCTGTAAGTGGATCTATAAAATTAAGTATAACTCTGATGGATCTGTTGAGCGCTATAAGGCGCGTTTAGTTGTCTTGGGTAATCGGCAGGTTGAGGGCATTGATTATCAGGAGACGTTTGCACCTGTCGCGAAGATGGTTACAGTGCGAACTTTCCTTGCTGTCGCGGCAGCTCGCCATTGGGAGGTCCATCAGATGGACGTACACAATGCTTTTTTACATGGGGATCTGACTGAGGAAGTCTACATGAGACTTCCTCCGGGCTTTCATTCACCTGAGCCTGGTAAGGTATGTCGGCTACGCAGGTCCCTGTATGGCTTAAAGCAAGCCCCTCGGTGTTGGTTTGCGAAACTTGCTACTGCACTACGACAGTATGGTTTTCAACAGTCCTATTCTGATTACTCCTTGTTCGTCCTTCATCGTGACTCGTTGAGCTTGCATGTTCTGGTATATGTCGATGATCTCATCATTTCTGGGAGCGACCCAACCTCCATTGCTGCATTTAAGGCGTATCTGGGTCGATGTTTTCATATGAAGGATTTAGGTGTGCTGAAGTACTTTCTCGGCATTGAGGTTGCTAGGAATTCTTCGGGCATTTTCTTGTGCCAACGAAAGTACACTCTTGATATTGTGACTGAGACCGGTCTACTTGGTGGAAAACCGGCGGACTTTCCCATGGAACAGAATCACCAGCTTCCCTTAGCAGACGGCCCTCTATTTTCTGACCCCGAGCGTTATCGGCGTCTCATTGGGAGATTGATCTATTTGACAGTTACTCGTCCAGACTTGACCTATGCGGTTCATACTCTGTCTCAGTTCATGCAGCAACCTCGTCAGGCCCACTGGGATGCTGCTCTTCGGGTGGTTCGTTATTTGAAGGGTACTCCGGGTCAGGGTATTCTTCTTCGTTCTGATTGTGACTTGCAAATTTATGGTTGGTGTGACTCTGACTGGGCGACTTGTCCCACTACACGTCGGTCTCTCTCGGGCTGGTTTGTACAGCTTGGTCATTCACCTATTTCTTGGCGCACCAAGAAACAGCACACTGTGGCCCGGTCTTCTGCCGAGGCCGAGTATCGAGCCATGGCGACCCTTACTTGTGAGTTGAAGTGGTTGAAGGGTTTACTTCACAGCCTTGGCGTCGCTCATTCTCAGCCCATGCGGATTCATTGTGACAGTCAAGCAGCTCTGCACATTGCTGCTAATCCTGTATTTCATGAGCGCACGAAGCATATTGAAGTCGATTGTCATTTTCTTCGTGATGCTCTTGTTCAAGGTCTCATTTCTGCCGCTCATGTTTCCACTCACTCACAATTGGCGGACATCTTCACCAAGGCCTTGGGAAAACGCGAGTTTGATTTTTTTCTCGGCAAGTTGGGCATCCGGAATCCGCATGCTCCAACTTGAGGGGGGGTGTTAGTGTGATTTTGTGAATATTATATTTTTGGTAGAGATATATTTTGATATCTTAGAGATTTGGTGTATATTTGTAGGGCTTCTCTTTGTATCTATTTATTCAGCCTTTGTAAACTCTGTTGGGAAGTTGAATGAATCAATTTCTTACATTGATCTTTTGACAGTTTCTTTTAATTTGAAATCGACCAATCTTTGGTTTTATGGATATCTTCTGACATTAAATATGCATTAGCGAATTTGCATTCATCAGATTGCATGCGCGATGCAGTCGACTTATTGTTGAAAGCAGCGGGGCATCTGAATTTCTGTGTTCACGATGTTATTCCCCGGTTACCACCTGACGTGAAGTGCGTATAACCAATTTCTTTTCTGGAAAAATATTAAATCAACTTAATCACAATTTTGGTTAGTGTTGTTAATGACACATAATAAATATATATATTTGTATAAACAGAGACAAGTTACCTTCAGATATGCAGGGGAGTGTCCTGGAGTCAATTTTGTACCAAGCACTGGCAATGGTATTTATCGCTAAATCTTCAATTATAAACAATCCAAAAACTAGATTGCTTATCAAATTTCTTCTTATAACGTACAAATATCAGGGAACAGAAGTTCAGGTGGGACTAGCCGTGCAAAGCCAAAACGCGACTTTGTCAGTTAAAAGGAGACTAGCGTGCGAACAGCTCAGTTTTTTCACCAAGGTAAATCACATGATAGTTACTTACTTTTTGCTCTGATATTCTTCAGTTAGAATCATAATTAGCTTGTTAATCCCGTTTTTGAGGCCTATTTCTGCTTATCCGAAGCGGATAATGGAGGTGCCAGGAAGAAGCAACTGTCTTTCCTCAAGTGGAAGCATCTAGAAGCAAAGGTGATCATGACCTAATTATATATTTTTCTGTTTGGTTAATTATTTTTATTTGGGTTGTTAGTTAGTAACACTATTTTGGTTTTTGGGCTGCGTGTAGGCTGGTGCATACTATTATCACGCTCTAATCTTGGATAAAGGCACCGAGCCATCGTCCCATGTAAGCGCTGTGTGTTGTTTCATTGCTGCACAAGATCTGTTAGCTGAGAGCAACAAGGCTTGCTTAACCTTTTGCCTTGCACATCCAATTACTAGGTTAATTTGGATATTTATGTATTTCTCTTCATATATATTTTGTTTCTGTCTCTAAATGGATAATTTATTTGTCAGGGCTACTCCACCATGGGGTGCAATGAAGCATTTTCACAAGAAAATTCCGGATATGGCCTCCAAGAAATCTCAAATGTACGCCGACCTTCTCGACCAAGAAAAGTAAGAGCAATTGTTACTTTTTACCAATCTCTTGTTATAATGTTTAGTTTATGATTCATCCAGCTTGTGCTGAGGATATTTACTACTACTATTTTAAAGCCTGCAGAGTTTGCCTCATCTTCCAGAATTTGAGCTGTCGTTAAAACCGGATGACTATGAGCTGCCTCAACTCGATCCCATGTGGGATTTTGGCAACTGGAAAGTTCCTAATCCTGGACAAACGACAATCAAGGCACACCTCAACGATGATGATGATCATCATCATCATCTGTTCCAACTGCAAACTTGAAACATGCTTTCAGGTGTCGAATTTGAATTTTCTTTAAAGTGTGATAAGAATTTCATCATGTCTGATATTATGATGTAAAGAGTGATAAATCTTATGTAACTGGGTGTCATTTGTTGTTTAACTCTCTTAATTTCAAACATACAACTTGTGCACCTTAATTTCTACTTTTTCGAAATTGATAAATAATTAATTATGTGATGAGCAATTTGTTTTCTGTTTACAAATAAACAACTTTGACCTACACTTATCTTCAAGATGAAGACCGCTGAATATATTGAAATCAGGAAAGAATAAAAAAAAAAAATACTGCATTTGCTGCAAGTTTTTGGACTTATTACTAAATGCGAGAAAAATGACCAGTTTTCTTTGCTTAAGATGAGCCATGAGCCAAAATCAGAAAATTTTGCCATAAATATATGCCCACTCGTGTCCAAGTAGGATCAGTTACTATCACTGGGCCACTGGCGGACACAAAATTTTTTTTTCCCCTAAATAGAAAAACATTAAAATATAAAATTATAAAGTTCGTCCAATCACTTTTGGTCAATTACAGTATTGTCCAATAATTTTCTTAGATTTTAACTTAGTGCAATAATTTTGAATTTTATGGCAATTTCATTTAATAATAAAATTGAATCAAGTAATACTTTATTATCAGACTTTCAATTTTAAATGACCAAATTGGATGCACGGATGCGGCCAATGCCCTATATTTTACACGTCATAATTCTATTTCCATTTTATCAATCACTGGTTTCACTTTCTCCAACTTTTGCTAACTAGTAACTACTCATATGTAGCGACTAACTATTTTAATCAATAGTGAATGCGTAACATAATAAATTTAAATTTAAAATTATTTATTAAGCTTAAATTGGCAGATAGTTATTAAGCGTTATTCCCATTTTAAACCAGTGTTTCATTTACTTATATCCAATGAATATAAATCAGATAACGATTCTCGTTTTCTTCAAACAAACCACTTTAATGTTGAATTGATAAATTTGTTGAGGGCTAATTGGCTAAAACAGCCAATATTCTTGTTATAATTGAGCATAAGTTAGCTAGTACAAGTACAAAGTTGTTAAGCTAATTAATGAGTCACTCGTGAGCTTGAGTCGATTTGATAAGACTCGTTAACTTTTTTTTATATAATTTTCAATAGTTCGGTTCATTAAAACTCGAACCGACTCGTTAATATTGATAAACGAGTCGAACTCAAACTTGATTACTGACTCGTTAAGGGACTCGAGTTCGATTTGGTACGACTCGTTTACACTACAAATTGTACAACAAATAAAATAAAATGGCTTAAAAATAACTTTATGAGGCCGTTACTAATGATTAAACAAATTTCCCACTAGAGCTAAAAATAAAAAATAAACATTCAATGACGAAAAGCTCATAATCATTGAGAAGGTATAATTTAATTTAATTTTTATTAGGAAAATCAAAGGCTATTCTTTCAAGTCCAAACAGTACTACTTGTTGACAACTAACTCTGTTAATCACCATGCACGCACATCAACACCGCACATACGAAGAGAAATCATCAGCTACACTCTACGCCATAGACCCATCAGATTAAAACCTAAACACCCCATTAACAAACTCAGTCGAACCCCGTAACCGTCAAAGAAATTAAAAGGAAAAAAGAATCACAACCGGAGCGTGAGATCCAGGTTCACATGCTCCGGCGCCTCGTCCCGGAACTGCTCCGAAACCGGGCGGCCGCCGCCGAAAACGCCGGCCATAGGAGCGGTACCAGATCCGCCGTCCAGCGGAGGCTGGAGCCAGTACGAGTAGGGCGGCGTCGGCCCGTCGATCTCGAAGGCGGCGGCGGACGGATGGCAGGGGAATCCGCCGGCGGCCGTGAGTGATCTCCTGGTGGCGGCCCTCTCCCGCTTGTGCGCGTTCTGGTGGCCGCCGAGTGCCTGCGAAGTGCAGAACTTACGGTTGCAGTAGAGGCAAGAGAACAAGCGATGGTCGATGGAGGATGAAGAGTTGCTCGACGGGTCCGGCTTCAGACGCTGGGCGTTGAGCTTGAAGAAATCGTATGTGCTGGGATCTGCCATTTTCGTTTTCCCGAGCTCTGATGAGAGAGAATGGTGTGTGTGTGTGTGACTGTGAGGTAAGTGTGAGTGAATATGCAAAGTACACAGTTATATATAGGCAGTAGTGCGTGCCTGCCTCTGTGTGGTGTGTGTGTACAGTTTGTTATTTTAGCTTTGTCTCTTTCTACCATTTTGTTTCCACTTTATTCTTCTTTTTTTTCCTTTTAATTTCTAAATGTAATTAAATTACCTGCAGCAGGCTATCTTATCTATAAAGCATAAACCAAGTTCCTTCATTAATCTATAAATAAATAAATCGCTAACTAGTTCATTAACTATAATTAATCTACTTTACCAGCACAATACTAAAATTGAAACTAGTCCAAGTTAGTACTTGTCAAAGATAAAAGAAGCCATGTTTATTATTTCCACCGTGTCAAATGAAGAAATATGTGCATTATGAATGTAATTTAACTAGTTCTATGTATTCAGTAGAAGCAGCAAAATTATTAACCTGGAATATTTGGCATTATCCTAAGCCAACAATAAGGCTTGTACTGGGTGCAATAAGCTTAGTTTGATTAATCCAATGACATGCCAACCACAAGAGCTGCATCCCCTATAATAGAAATTGGGGGTGATGTACTTTTTTAGTATATTAATCAATTGGTTCAACCTAACTGAGCCAGCATGAGGAAATATGCTTTTAGGGCGTGTTTATTATGCATGATAAGATGGGATAAGAACTGCTATCCCTGGTTAATCTTATGTTTGATAGAATGGATTGTAGCCTGCATGATTGGATGAGGCTTGAGACTGAAACCAGTTGTATCCCTCTGCATCGTGATTGCCATATCACTAGTGAAAAGTAGATCGCCTGAAGGGTTTCAGATTGAATTATCCATTTTCTCAAATCTTTTGACTTGACCAGTTTGCCCTCATTTGACCAGACATTTTAGGTAGAAAAATGGAGGGTGAAAAAAGGAATTTCACACAATAATCCCATCAATT